GAGGGGGCAGGACAAACACATCGACCTCTTTCCTCCTGCTTTCTGATCTCCTCCTGGTCTCCCTTTGGCTGAAGGAGGCAGGCTGGCAAAGAAACCTGCATGAAGCCATCCATGCTGGCCAGTCTCCTGGGACACAGAGCAGAACAGAAAGATGTGGTTGTGCAAATGAGGAGAGCTACTCTCACTCTCGCTTCACAGATTAGGAGCATGCTAGTCAGTGGAGTGCTTGGTTGGATAAGACAGCTGGATAAGCCAACCATTATGAGGTTATTTCATTCATTCTTCCAGACCTGTAGCAAAATATGCAGCAGTCAGATGGCTTCTTCCAAGAAAGCAGAAATCTACAAATACACAGTCTGACCCAGTGGTTGGGGTGTGACAGCTAGAGTAGATCCCATAATACCTTCTACATGTACCTTGGGGCTGAGAGAGAAAAGTTGGTGACATAATGTTACTGGTTCTCAAACTTAACTGTGCATTGATTATTAGACTATCCAGGAGTGTCTTAGTCTATTTAGGCTGCTGTAATACAATACCAAAGAACAGATGGCTTTTAAACAGCAGAAACGTATTGGCCACAACTCTGGAGGCTGTAAGTCCAAGAGCAGTTCCTGGTGCATGGACGGCCGCCTTCTCCTGTGTCCTCACATGGCAGAGGGGTGAGAGAGCTGTCCAGGGTCTCTTTATAAGCACACTGACCTCATTCAGGAATAGTTAACCCTCTTTGAGTTTAAACTTCAGTTCCTCAGTCCCACTAGCCACATTTCAAGCGTTCAATAGCCATATCTGGCTCATGGCTGCAGCTTTGGACATTGTAGATATAAAACATTCCATTATCATGGTACAGTGACAGAAAGCCCCAGCTAGGTGGGGTGGGGCTCAAGGCAACGGGACATGGAACAGAAGTCACACAAACTGAGCACTCATGCCAGGGAAAAGGGACAGCTGGAGGGCACAGAGGTGGCTAGCCCAGGAAGATGTGGTTGAGGACCTTGCCAGTATGCCAATCAGGTAGGATGGGCTCAGCAGCCTAGAGGGGCTGAGGAGGGTGATGAAAGGAAGACCCAGGACCCATTGCTGTGGCACCAGAGACTTCTCTGAAGGCACCTATAGGAGATGCCCACTCCATTCACTTTTGAGCCATGCTCCTGGGCGAGGTGATTGTGGCTCTGCTGTCTGCTTTGAGCAGCACAAGCCTGGAGCAGCATCAGGTGGTGGGGAGGCTGTTTAGCTATAGGCTTTCAGCAGGTTCATCTCCAGGGCCCCATGAGCAGAACCCGGCTGCTGTGAGTGGCCCCATCACTTGGGAGCCAGAGTAAGTGTATAGCAGGAAGATAGAGGAAGGGCTCACTGGATGGACAGTGAGAGACACTTGTGATTGTGAATTATTCAGTTCAATCTGGAGCATTTGAAAGCTTTTACCATGTGGTGGGTGAAGAGTGCCTTTTAGGAAACAAATCCCTGAGAGGTGCCATGCTGAACATTTCTGGAGAGAAGCAGAATGGTGTACTAGTTTTCTAGGGCTGCCATAACCAAGTACCACAGACTAGGGGGCTTAAACCACAGAAATATACTGTTTTGTGGCCTGGGAGGCCAGACACCCTGAATCCAGGCATCAGCTGAGCTGGTTGCTTCTGAGGCACAGGGACTCCATCCTGGCCTCTCCCCAGCTTCTTGTGGTTTGCTGGCAATCTGTGGTGCTCCTCAGTTTGTAAGCACATTACCACATCTCTTTCTTCATGTGCCAGTGACATCTCTACGTGGGTATGTTTGTGCTCAAGTGTCTCCTTTCAGAAGACACCAGTCATATCAGATCAGGGTCCACACTATTCAGGTACAACTCCATCCTCACTGAATGATTTACTTCTGTAAAACTGCTATTTCCAAGTAAGATCACATTTTGAGGGACTGGGAGTAAGACATCAAGATGTGAATTTCAAGAGTATTATTCAACCCATAAGAAATGATAGAGCAGAATGAGCATATATTTTGGAGTCAGCTTGGGTGTGAAACGTGCTTTTGCCACTGCTTTTCTGATGCAGTTTGATTTTATCATCTGCAAAATGAGGATGGTATATTTAATAGAATCACTGATAAAATGGTAAATCATTAGTAAAATGAAGTACTATTTTATGTACCACCAGTTAAGAAAAAAATACTTCCAATTAAACAATGGTATATCATCAATTATAACATGCATCTCATGTCTTAATATAAAAATTGTAGAATAAAAGTAGATCTGGTTTTAAAGTCCATGAAAGTGAAGACTGCAGGAACATGTGAAGGGCCTTCATCGACATGCAACACAGAGACATCCTTTGCCTCCTTTGCCAGAAAAGTGATCATGACCACTGGTCACCACCCAACTTGCCATCCAAGATGCAATGATAGAGTTTACTAGGCAGAGGCCCAAAAGACTTCCTTGAAACAGCAAGTCATTCGGTCCTGCATGCTGGTAGCTTGCCTTGGATAGCCTCGCAGGGTGTGTGGCTTGATACCAGTATGAACTTTACATCTATGTGGGGGTCATCAGTTGCAGATCAGGAAGTGAGAAGAAGAACAGGATCAGTGCACTTGAGCCATTTGTGCCATTTGGGGTGGTTAAAGCAGAGGAGCAAAGACCAGAATTGGATGGATTTCCCTTTCCTGTCTCTTACCATCTCAACCTGCCTAGGACTCTATTCTTCCATCTACAAGGGAAGAAGTTTCCTTTTCTGTGTGTTGAGAAGTCAAAGCCACCTATAAAATTACTTACAGGGCAGTTACAAAATTCTCTATAAAAAACAACTGCATGAATATAATTAAATCCCTTATTTTATGGCTCATTTTTCTATGAATTTGAACCAAATATTGCAAAAGTGCCCATGGGGCCATCCATTGAGAAAGAAGAGCTCAAAAACTGAAAAATGAGTGCTCTATCTGAACAGGGCTGTTCCCAATTGTCACCAAGTATGAATGTGGCCCAGGTTACCAGATATTCTAATTTTTTTCCCAAGAGGCAGAGGAGGTAGTGGACAGGACAATAGAAATAGTTGGCAAGTTATTTTATGTTGGCAAATTAAGGGAAAAATACTTTTAAGTGGGACAAATAATAAAAAACCTCTAAGTCAGCTTGAACTTGCAGACTACCAGTTTGTGATCTCTGGTTTATACTATTATTCAAAACCATGATCTCTTAACAACTGAAAAACAAATTATACCAATACATAAATCCTTTATCTATACAATCAGGCAATGACATATTCAGTCCTGTCCCCAAGAATGAACATTACATAAGCAAGTAGAAGTAGAAGCTGCGTCTTCAGGGAAGCCAGATGAACCAAATAACCACTGGCCTGAACAGTAGCTTATTGTAAAATGCGAATCAACAGTAGGCTGGGGTTCGGTGACCTACCTGCTGGAAGGGGACATGGCAGAGCCGTATTCTCCTTCTTGCAACCTGAATTGCCCCTCCCACCAAGAGTAGCAGGTGGCCCTCTTTACAGGACAACCCTCCCTCACACAGGGCCCATCAGAGAGGCTGGGGCCAGGGACAAGTCTCAGAACTCAAGAATGTCAGGGAAGGCTGCAGCAAGCATCAAATTTTCTTTGCTAGATACTGTCCATGTGAGATATGGTCAAAGAGCATCTTCCCTTCACTTTATTGAGAGACTATTTCCCTGGACTCTAATGAAAGAGGAAAAATAGTTTTCTTAGTTTGTGCTAATGAATGACACTTGGGAAATATCCAATAAACCATGTTTCTCTTTGAAAGTTCACACCACACGTTGATCCCAGCTGATTTGTGAAATATGAGGGATGGGAGATCTCCAGTCAAGAGACACTGTAAGATCTTGGGTTATCTGTAACTGGGTCCTTTAAGGCATCCTAAAATATAAATGGTGTGTATTTTTACAAAACACAGACATAAAACAAGAAAACCTTAATGGGTACTGGCAATAAACAGGTGGCACACCCAGAGAGTTTCACCTAAAGAGGTAAAGTCATCACAGAGGGACTTTCTTCAAGGTCCTGGGCTTGGGTAAAGGAGCCAGCAAAGGATGGCAACAGCGACGTGTCTGAGACATCACAGTCAGCAACAGCAGAGATCATTACCAGAGGGAAGGGGGCTGCACTGCCGCATCCCAGGACAGTGCCCTCGCAGAGGGAGCCGGCCAGCAGCCCAGGTGCAGATGCATGGAGCATCTTTCTGTCCTCTGGCTCTCTGAGCTCCTGCCGAGTCCCCCCTTTGGTCTATCCAACCAGAATCTAGAGGGTAAGAGAGCCCAGGAAATCTACAGAGGCTATCCTTCAGGGGCGGGCACAGCAGGCTGAGAACAGCAGACGTGGATCTGGGAGAGAGGGGCAAAGGGAGAGTTGTCATCACAGAGGCAGGGAAATCATGACATGAAGTGTTAGAGCAGGACCAAGCTTTTCATCCACTAATCCTAATCTTGGGAGGGAACTGAGGCCCAGGGACTTGAAACAACTGACCAAGCAGTATAGGCTCAGTGAAAGGCCCACGTGAGACTAAAGGCAGTTATCGTCACATCCACTCCCATGGCCTTCCCACTTCATTAGGCTGTGGATCATGAGTTATAAACCTACTAGAGTATGGTTTGGCTAAATTGGCACCTGCCATGTCCATTTGCCATGTCTGTACCCAGCAGACATCACTAATCGATTACAGGTGTCTTCCCTCAAGAGCCCAGATGTGTGCTCGACTCCTCATCCTCTGGCTGCAGCAGCCACAGTAACTGACCCACCTATTGCCCTTCCACCTAACAATACAAGATGCTCTAAGCCTTTACATATAAAGCTTCAGATTATTCTAATAAAATTTTCTCCTTGAGACATGGCTCATTCTCTAAGAGCGCTTCCTTGGAGACTTTCAAATGCTTACCCTGGTGACTTGATGGAAGGCAATTGAGGTCTGGATGAAGGGGAAGCACCCTAAGATTAACATGCCTGAAGGTAGTAATAAGAAGCTCTAATCCTGGTGGTTCTCTCTTTCCCTGCAGGTTGACAGAACAGAGGTGATTCGCACCTGCATAAATCCAGTGTATTCAAAACTGTTCACAGTGGACTTTTACTTTGAGGAGGTGCAGCGCCTGCGGTTTGAGGTCCATGACATCAGCAGCGACCACAATGGGCTGAAGGAGGCCGGCTTCCTGGGCGGCATGGAGTGCACGCTGGGCCAGGTGGGTGGGCAGGCGGCCCTGCTCCCGTCTCGCTCCTCAGGGCTTCCTCCTCCTTCTCTCCCTCCCTCCTCTCGGCCAATATTTGCTTGCTTTCTCCTGTGACTTGTTCTTCTTTTACATGTGGAATGTATGACTTCTCATGCACTATCATCTGCATCATAAAACATTACATTTACATAAGGATGATGCTGTAAATACATACATGAAGAGTTACTTATTTTGCAGAAATGATCATTCTCCCTTCTGGATTCCTTCATCTGTCAGTCATTTAACAAATGTTTATTGAGTACTTATGCTCTGACGGTGTGTCTGTTACAGCCTTAGCCTGTTACATGATCAGTTCCCACCTCCTGATTCAACTATGAGGACCCCATGCAGGGGCTGTAGCTCATTCACACACACTCTGAGCCTTGAGTCAAAAACAGCCCAAGAGAGAGGCTAAAGAGTTATTTGGTGAATTAATAAGGGCTTCTATTTAATCCTCACAGTAATGATGCAAAGTAAACATCATTATATCCATTCACCAGTGAGAAGGCCAAGACTCAGAGGGGCTGCTGTGCCTGACGCCCCCACCAACAGCGCTGGGGCTGGAACTGGACCCAGGCTGGCCTCCTCACTCCAGACCCCATCATTTTGCTTCTGAAATACCTGTCCTTTTTCATTCCTTTCCTGCTGTACCCAGAACTTTCATAGATGCGCAGAGAAGATCTAAATGAAGAAATAGTCCCTGTGCCCAGGAAGTGGACATGCTTAATCAGAGAAGGCACACTGTATGCATGGCCCTTTAAGCCATAATGAGATGAGATATTCTGGGCTCTGTGCATAGGGTCTGGGTCTTCAGAGAAGGGAGACCTTTCTGCTGGGTAGACTCAAAGAAGGCAGTGTGGAAACAAACTGAAAAGTATATGGTCCACAGATTGAAGAAGGAGGGAGCCTTTCAGGTGCGAAAGCAACGTACACGAGGTGAGCAGGCCAGAGCGGCCGTCGCAGGGCAGGGACGAGGCCGAGGCCCACGGGACAAGCTCCAGGGCAGAGTTGCAGTCACACTAGTGAGGCCTTGGCTTCAGAGCCCCTTGCTCATGAGGGCCTCTTCCGAGGCACTGTGTCCATTTATACTTGTAGTTTTGTACTTTTTCACAAAGGATTCCAAGTTACATAATCCTCAAACCCCACAAACCCTACATCGATCCCATGCAGAGGCAGGGGTCTGGCTCAGCAGTCAGCAAACACCTCCCTGGCCAGGTGACAGCAAGTGGGTGTGTTGGCTTTGCTCCTGCCTTGTGCCACTGACCACTGAAAGGAATGTCTCCACATAAGCAGCACTGACCCTTTTCCAGCAGACACGGTGCCTACCAACACGGGAGTCCCATTAAAGTTCCTGTAATGAAGGCTGAAAGCCCAGCACAGAAGCACAGCTGTGGGAAGCAGAGAAAGGCCTGATGCCCTCCCTTAGCGTGATCTCTCTCGGGACTTCTGGAAAGAGTGGACTGCGGATGGTTCCAGGGTCTTGCCTGGCACGATGATTAATAATTAGGCAGTGAGTGAGGGAGTGGTGGATTTGAGGTGGAATTCTCTAATGTATAAATAAAATAAAAGTTGCTTAAGTAGCATCATCTATAGATATAAATCAGCTGCTCCAAGATTCTCCCATAGGCAATGGGCATCCCTCACACATGACGTTAAATTCTGACCCAAGAAATAAGTGTAGATCCATGTAGAGTCATGTGAATAAAAGATATTTTCTGCCCAAAGCTTTGATCATTTTGTCTTTGTGAGTGACTCTCAAATTTACATCTTTAGTTTCTCACAGCTCCATCTTTTCCATAATCAGAGAGTACTTGACCCTCTCTGTCATGCCAGGCCTTGGGCCATACACCAGCAATGTAGTAGCCACCAAAACTGTTGTTCCTGCCCCCAAGCAGATCAGTCTACTTGGGGATAAAGATGCAAACAATTAAATTACAACTGTAACCATCACTGTTAAGTGGAAGTCTAGAATTGGAAAGCAAACTTTGAGAGAATGGGTCAGGTGGACAGGGCGTCACAGAAGGTGTCCAAAGGGAAGAGGCAGCCCCACCGGTCCCAAAAGCGGAAGGTGAGGGTGTCAGGTGAGAAGAGAGCAGAAACACTTTCCAAGCAGATGGGAAAACTGCAGAGTCTCTGGATCCAGGAGGGAGTCTGGCATATGGCACGGAGTATCTTCACTTGGGTTTCCTAAGAAGCCAAGTTGGAGACGGGAAGTCACAGCAGGTGCAGGAAGTACTGCACTGGAGAGAAGCAGGAAGACAGGAAGGCAGCCACTGTGAGGTGCTGTCAGGCTGGCTACCACTGTGGGCAGCTGCAGCTTCTTTGCTGGGAAAATTCTGGATGCCAGTGGGGAGCAAAAAGCACAATTACCTTGCCCTGGAGATGAGGGAACTGGAGAATTTATACATACTCTCTCACCCATCATTGGGGGCTGTTTCCAGCATGGAACATTAACCCCCCAGCATTTTTGGCTTATTGATGGGTAGCAAAGCAGGCTCCAAAGACTGGAAGAAGCTCGTGAGCAAGGAGAAATGGGTGCTGTGGTCAGAAGTGAGCAGTGTACCCTCCAGGATTGGGGCTGACACACCCCAGCATCTGCCGACCCCATAGCCGGGCTCTCCCCTCCAGCTCCTGGTGCTGATCATTGTCAGATCACCTCCCAAGTGTAGCCCTATGCCTAGCTCAGGAACGGACCTGAGTGGTCTCAGCCACTCACTTAACGCATAGCCCTCTTTGCCAGAGATTGGTATGGGGTGGGGTGCTTGTGGCCAGTTCTGATCATAAGACATGACAGTTTTTCCTGGAAAGTGTTCCTAGCCTGAAAAAGTGTGTGTGCATGAAGGAACCATTCTTCTCTGCCTTGATTCCTGGACCACTGCAGCCACCTTGCAGGAAGGGGAAGGGGGAGGGCCACTCTAGGCGAGGTCAGAGCCAAAGTGGAGGCAGGGGCCTGACTGACCAGCCCCAAGCCACCCCAGCCTGTGGACTCCTCGTCATGGGACAGTGAAGCGTCCTGTTGTTGAGGTTGTCTGGGATGGGGTTTTCCACTCCTACGCTAAAAGCATCCTGATTGCCAAAGAGCATGTCGGTGGCAGGCTGTCTAGAGTGGAGATGAAGGGGCAGCAGGCCGTGAGTGGGTGTCACAGTGAGGAAAGGCTCAGGTGAGCGCCAAGGGCAAGAGGTACAGGTCTTTCTAGAGATATTTTGACACTTTTGAAAGAGGTTCCATACCGATCATTTCATCTGACCCTGTTAACAGGCTGTCATCATCTGCATTTATAGTTGAGAAAACTGGGGTCCAGAAAGATCCAGTGTCTTGACGGAGCCAGGAGCTTTTGGTCCTTACTCCAGAGCTCTTTCTCCCACCATGGTTTAGGGAAAGACAGGGTGGGGGGCCACCCACTCTAAGGTCTCCTTTGGCCCTGCGGCTTAGGAGGAGCAGTGAGAGCAAGGCGGCCTCCTTCAGCAGATCCCTACACCGTGCCTCGCAGGCCATGCCACTCTCCACCCCCAGGGGTATGCCAGCCTCTCTGGGCATCCTGTATTGTCTTCAGCAGCCACCTTCTCATATCCGCAGCCACGTCATAGGTGCAATTGACCTTTCCCACACATTGGGGACTAACTGGCTTAAGTCAATCAGAATATCCCATTTTTGTGGCCAGAATTACTAGTTCAAGGGAAGTTATATAACTAATCTGAGATAATGAAATGTAAATATACATTTTCTGGAGCCTTCTGGGAAAGAGGATATGAGGCTGTGGGGTCTGGAAATGGGAGCCTTCAGGGAGAACATGGAGCTGCTGGGAGGAGGAAGAAGAGGAGCAAAGACATAGCCACACACCAACCAGGAGGGGCAGGGCTGGCCCCTCAGGGGTGGGGCAGGGGCCTGAAGAGGAGTCGGGCGACATTGTCTGCACCCTGCACAGTACGGTGTCTGGAGCCCGTCCTTCCCAGGGACCTGGCCAATGGCTCCCTTTACCATTTAAATCACTGTGGGCTGATTCTTTTTGCTACCTTTAGCCTGGAGCTCTACCTGATCAGCCCACATTGCCCAGCACCCGTTCTCAGGCCACAGTGGTCTTTTCAGACTCAAGACCCTGTGACCATCTCCGCTTCATTCATTCAGCAGCTCATTCTGCATCGCCTTAAGAAGCTCCTTTTTATTACCTCATTAAAATCATTTCCCTTAATTAACATTTAATTTCACATGTATTTATCTGGTCCCCCAGCTTATTACAAGTTTCTTAAGGCAGAAGCCACACTCAACACTTGCTTGTGTTTAATATGACACCATGCCTTACCTATCACACGTGCTCAGGTCAGATGTATGACCAGTTAAATTAAGAACCTGAGATCAGTATGAACTTCTATTTTAACATCATAAGTTTCCTTCCTTCACTTATTCATTCTTTCCACAAGCATCTAGCAAGTGCCCCAGATCTGCCAGGTGCCATGCTAGGGGCTAGAGACACAAGAACTAGAAGGGCAGAGGTCCTGCCCCAGAGGAGCTTCTCATTAGGTGGAACACACACACTGGTGGGGAAAAGGACCAAAATGCGTGTACTGTGTGCTGTGTAGACATTGTTCCGGGGGCTGTGAGGGGAGACTTGCTTCTGCCTAGAGGGAATCAGTGAGGTCTCACCAGAAAGATGACTCTAGACCTGAATCTTGCAGGATGAGTGGGAATTCACCAGAAGAGGAAAGGGATAAGGACTCTGGGTAAAATGATGGGATCAATCAAAGGTGCAACAGTGAGAGTGACAGACTCCCAGTGACTCAGCGTGTCTGACGGCCAGTTGGGCGGGAGAGGAGAGAGGAGGTTGGGCGGCGATGGAGGAGCCAGGCATTAGACTCTAAGGGCTTTTCTGTAAAGCTGAAGAGCTTGGACCTGCTGCCCTGGACGTCCAGAAGGATTATAATCAGAAAAAGCACAGGGGGATGTGTGTGTCAGGAAGGTCACCTGAACATTCCTA